TCATTAAAAAATGAAGCCAGCAACCAGAGAGCTGTGATCAAGATATCCTATTGAAGCCTAAATTACCACTTCATCGGCAGGTTACCCTTAATTTGTGGTAACGAGATCCAGTGGAGATGGTGAATGAGTCCAAGCACTCTGTTGCACGACTTGAGTAAACGCTGTTGCTGGATGTTCTCTAGATCGGATGTACTGGAACTCCACCCAGATGTCCTAGGAGCGCTAAAGCCACCTACCAGCAAAATGCATAAGGTGGAACCTGGAGGAGAGCTATCCAAAGGTTTGCGAAAAAAGTCATCTTTCGGCGAACATGAGAGATAAGTGAAAATGGCGCAAAGAATAGAGTGTCTCCTGCAGTGAAATTCGGGTCTACAGTACATCACTAAAATGGGTAGATACGTGGTGTTGAAGGAAACATTTTGAGTGAACAGAGTCGTGGTTGAGTATAAGGCAACAGCAACTGCCCTCCTGCGTTTCAGGCATCCCCGGAGAATGGGCAGTCCTAAACCGATATTTCAGCACTAGAAACATTCGTTGTAGGGCAGGCTTGCGCAAGTACGATTAATGACGGCTGTTGAACGCAAATTGTAGAACCTAAGGAAGCTTGTCGAACAGACAGATTCAGATAATTTGTGAACAAGAACAACATTATTTCTTCTGAGTTCAAAGAGGCGGGCAAGAGAGGCAAGGAGAGTCAATAATTCTACGATAGTTGTGTTCCGAAGGCTTGGAAGGGACCTTTGTAGTGCGGTTTTCTACTTCCTGATTTGGTTATTTCAACGCCTTTCACCATCGACCACTTGAAGTCCGATTGGCGTCGAAACTTTGTTTATGTGAGAGGTAGTTTGTCCTCCCATGGGCAAGACTTTTGATGCTCAGTGTTTTCTCGCATGTTTTCCAAGCGTCTTTTCAAAGTTTGCCACTACCCAGTATCCATTCTAACACTAACGTGGTTATCTGTTAACCGTCTGACGATGTGGCACATCACAACTCATAGAAAAATCCCACCACACCCCCCCCCACTTTTTACATTGCGAAGAAACCTTTCGTTAAAAATGATTACTACTTTGTACATACAGCGAAGGGAATCAACTTGTCATTCAATGCAAAGAAGGATATCAGCAAGATA